GATCACTAAATTTGATTGGCTAATCTATATATTAATTTTATTAAAAATTTTTATATCTAATCTTTAAAAATTTATATTTCACTAAGTTTTTAACCAATTTTAATAATTTTAATACTATTAGAAAAACCTGCTTTGCAAACTTTTCTTAAGAATTAAAATTAGTTTATTTAATACAATTTTTTATAAAACTAAATATTAAAAAATTTTACTATTATTTTTATATATAATTTTAAAATAGTATCCCCTACCTTTAAACTTTTATTATACTAAAGCTTTTTAATAATTTTAAAAAATTTTCTTAATAAAGTTAATAAAATCAAATATTTTACTTAAAAAATACAGCAAAATTAATATATAAGTTTTATTAAAAAAATTAAACTTTTTAATAAAAACACAGACAAATTTGTTTATATTACAATTTAAGGAATACAATATTAAAGTACTCTAACTATAGTAAAAAAATTTAAATTACATACTATAAATAGCCAATCAAAATAATTAAAATATTAATTTATATTTTAAAACAATCCAATTCTGGTTAAATTTGCAGAACACTTGGTCTAAGTTTAATATTATCTCCAATAGGCTAAATAATTTGCAAATTTAATAAAAATTAAAGTGTTTTGAAAATATAAATTAGTTAAATAAAATTATAAAAATTTTTAAAATTATAGTAAAGACTTCTTTGTAACTGTTTAATTAAACTTAGTACCATATGTTACCGAATAGAAGCTATCCCCGAATAAAAGCTACCCCCACTTTTTGAGTACAAAAAATGAGAAAAATAAAAGAAATTGTTAGTTACCAAATAAAAGCTACTCCCAATTTCAAGTACCTTTATCCGAACCTAGAATTATGGTCCGGAACCAATAAAAATACTTTTTTTTTTTGGCACAATCAAATTTTAGTGAGAATTTATTTGAACCAGGCCATCAAATATACTATTAATAGGCAACTAATATACCGTATAGATTATGACTTTATTTAAACAATTCCCAATTAGATAATACAATTAAATATTTATTTTGCCTAATATATACCTTCAGATTAGAAATGTGATTTCACTGATTCATATAGTTTTGTGTATAAAAACTTTTGTTGAATGCAGATAGGTTACGCAAAAAAAATTGTCAAGATCACAAGATCAACAATCTTTGATAAATCATATATCGATATTACATAAAATCTATATAATTATATGGTATTAAAATTTGTAAAATTATTTGCATACTCTGTGTTGAAAGCGATTGTTTGATCTTGTGATCTCGATATTTTTTTGCCATGACTAACCTATTATAAAAAATGATAAAACTGCATAAGTCATTAATTCATGCACATTTTTCTGGAAGTGATGTTAAATAAAATATTTTTATAGTATGAATATTACATCATATAGTAATCATGATAGCGATTTTTATATCACTCAATTCTTTTTATGAAGAATTGAGTGGCATAAAAATCGTTACTCTGATTACTGGATCATAATTTATTTCCATGCTTACTTTATATTATATATCCACAAACTTACGATATTTTGCAATAAAGCATGATCGTTAAACTTTATTAGACAGCTGTAAAAGCTTTGAATAATACATTCTTAATCTATTGTAAAAAGAAGAACATCTTCATTTTCTTCAATCGTTGCATCATCATTTTCTTTATCCTCAAAATCCTCCTCATTTTCACCAGAATCACCAGAATCCATATCAGGATTATTTTCATTAGCTTCATTAGTTTTATTATCAAGGATTTTGTCATGATATATCTCACTATTCTCTAAAACGGTATCAAAAAGTAATGATCTCAAAAAAAAACAACTTGCAAGTAACTTCAAGACCTCCTCAATGTGGTTAAAATGTTTTTTAAAATGCTATAATCTTGCCTTATACCGTAAAACAAAAATAGCACAAAAATTGCCTATTGATCTTGAGCAGCAATTGCTCAATTTTCAACAATATGTAATTTGGTTACGCCTTAAGAGAAACTACCTCTTGAGCAATATCGCAAACATGGACAAAACTCCGTCTGGTTTGACATGGCTTGTAATCTGACTGTTGAACAAATTGGTGCCAAAACAATCCATATACGTACAACTGGTAATGAGAAGAATCGCTTTACTGTAGTTCTGACATGCTTTGCTGATGGACAAAAGCTTCAGCCCACAGTTATATTCAAGAATCAAAGATAGGCTAAGACTAAGGATT